ACACACGCTGACCCCTAGGAGTGGTGGTAGTGACCATCGCATCCTGGAGGGCAGCGGTACTCACCAAGTTCGTAGAGAACGAGGGGAGGTGAAGACCTGACAGTGAGCCGGACGGAACCGCCGGACACGGGAGGACAGTGGAGGAACTGGCAACGACCGGGCCCCCAGAGGGGTCAGCCTGTCTGACCGGAACAGGTGCAGGAAGAGGAGTGAGAGTGGTGCTGTCACGAAAGAAACAGCGCGAGGCGCCGGAGTCCAACATGAAGGTGTGCAGGGCCTCAGCAGGCGCAGTACCAGGGGGAGTACCAGACGCACTAGCACCTAGAGCAGCAGCGGCTATACCTGGGTCAGGCGGCACACACCAGTAACAGTCACCCTCAGCACTAAAAGAGAAAGCATACATGGCAGAGATAATAACATCAAAGTCTAGGTCAAAGATAGCAACTCCCGACCTAAGCAACTCCGCCCAGCGAGGGCGCTCGACGTCATCACCAATCTCAGTACGCCAAGCGTCATCAAGGCGGGCAAAGAAGCGGCGCTCAGTGTGAAACCTCCCGCATGTCCGGCCCGCACGGGCACCCGTGCGAATGACATACGGGCAGGTCTCACTACCCTCACCCGCCCCACGCTGAACCAACCACTCACGGAGCTACTGGGGCGTCTGAGTCTCGCTCCGACGCTGCTGCTGCTGGCCCCGACCACCACCAGGGCCTCCACGCTGAGGTCCAGACCGACCACCACTGGTCCCACCGCCTCTACTGCCGCCACTCCCTCCGCTGCCTCCACCGCCGCCACCAGAGCCTCCACCTCCGCCACCGGTCCCACCGCCGCCACCACCTCCACCGCCTCCGCCTCCTCTACTGCTGCCCCCACTACCACTCCCTCTGCCACCTCCACCACCACCGCTGCCTCCTCCACTACCCCGGCCACCCTTGCTCTTGCTGTTGCGGCGCTTCGCACTAGTCAAAGCAGCACCGACGTCCTCAGGAACAGAGACGTCTGCAGCAGCAGCAGAGGCGAAGGAGGATGAAAGGGGGGAGGGGGAGCACCCCTCAAAGAAGGGTGAGCGCGGAGTGCCATGAGCAGCACCTACAGCAACTTCACTAGTCTCAGCTGCGAGGAGATGCTGCTCGAGGAGGTCAACAGTGAGGGAAGTGGGGTCGAGGGTGAGAAAGTGGTCCCTGACAGAGCGAAGGGAGTCAGGGAGGCGAGTGACTATGAAGTAGAGGGTGATGAACATGGGGGGCTGGTTCGTGGGAAGGAACTCAGCAGGGACGGTAGCGCGGTAGCGAGCGTAGCTCGTGCGCAGGTGGGTAACCAGGTCGGCTACTGTGGCAAAAGCCGACAGCTCAGGGAACGGGTAGGGCAGTAGCAGCCTGCCAATAGCAGCAGTGGCAGGGGAGGAGTAGCGAGCAACGACAGCGTCGTACAAGGCCTGTGTTGTCCTGTGCTCGCCAAAGTGAGCACATTCGGTTGCGGGCAGGTGGTTGCGAATGGCCAAGCGGGCAGTAGCGTCACGAGACAGCCACTGGGAACGAGTCGAAACGTCTGCTGTGGCGGGAGGGGCTGGAGCGGCACCGGATACGTGGTCAAACAGTGAGACACTGTCCCGACTGTTGCTCAGTAGGTACAGTTGCAGATCGTCGTGCCACGTGTCAAATGCTACAGGTCTGCCTTCCGGGTCGAACGGGAGAACTCGAAGCGACGCCATAGGGGCCGAGGGGCCAAAAAGGGGGCCGGGCGCAGGGCTCTGAGGTGGGGCCGAGGGGCCTAGGGGCCGCGGGGCCAAACAAGGGGCCGGGGGGGCCTAGGGGGGGGCCAAGGGGCCTAGGGGGCCGAGGGGCCAAACAAGGGGCCGGGGGGCCGGGCGCCGGGCTCTGAGGTGGGGCCGAGGGGCCTAGGGGCCGCGGGGCCAAACAAGGGGCCGGGAGGGGCCTAGGGGGGCCGAGGGGCCTAGGGGGCCGAGGGGCCAAACAAGGGGCCGGGGGGGGCCGGGCGTCGGGCTCTGAGGTGGGGCCGAGGGGCCTAATGGCCGCGGGGCCAAACAAGGGGCTGGGGGGCCTAGGGGGGCCGAGGGGCCTAGGGGGCCGAGGGGCCAAACAAGGGGCCGGGGGTGGGGGGGGCGGGCGCCGGGCTTTGAGGTGGGGCCGAGGGGCCTAGGGGCCGCGGGGCCAAACAAAGGGCCTAGGGGGGCCGAGGGGCCTAGGGGGCTGAGGGGCCAAACAAGGGGCCGGGCGAGGGGCTTTGAGGTGGGGTCGAGGGGCCTAGGGGCCGCGGGGCCAAACAAGGGGCCGAGGGGGCCTAGGGGGGCCGAAGGGCCTAGGGGGCCGAGGGGCCAAACAAGGGGCCGGGGGGCCGGGCTCCGTGCTTTGAGGTGGGGCCGAGGGGCCTAGGGGCCGCGGGGCCAAACAAGGGGCCGGGGGGGCCTAGGGGGGCCGAGGGGCCTGGGGGGCCGAGGGGCCAAACAAGGGGCCGGGGGGCCGGGCGCCGGGCTGTGAGGTGGGGCCGAGGGGCCTAGGGGCCGCGGGGCCAAACAAGGGGCCGGGCGCAGGTGTTGTCGGGCCGGGGCTAGGTGCGGGGCCGGGCGCTGGGCGAGGGACTGAGCCGGGCGCGGGCGTAAGGTACGGGGCCGGGCGCTGGGCTAGGAACGGGGCCTAGCGCGGGCTAGGTAGGGGGCCGGGCACTGGCATGAACGGGGCCGGGCGCTGGGCAGGTACGGGGCCGGGCGCTGGGCAGGTACGGGGCCGCGCGCTGGGCAGGTACGGGGCCGGGGCGCGGGCTAAGTACGGGGCCAGGCGCGGGCGTTATACGGGCCTGGCGCGGGCTAGGTACAGGGCCAGGCGCTGGCGACAGACGGGGCCGGGCGCGAGCTAGGTACGGGGCCGGGCGCTGGCTAGGGTCGGGGCCGTGCGCTGGGCTAGGTACGGGCCGGGCGCGGGGCTAGGTACGAGCCGAGCGCGGGCGAGAGACGGGGCCGGGCGCGGGCAGGGTACGGGCCGGTCGCGAGGCTAGGTACGGGCCGGGCGCGGGGCTAGGAACGGGGCCGAGCGCGAGGCTAGGTACGGGCCGAGCGCGAGGCTAGGTACGGGCCGGTCGCGGGCGTCGACGGGGCGCGGGCTAGGTACGGGGCCAGGCGCGGGTGTCGACGTGGCGATCGTGGGCTAGGTACGGGCCGGGCACGGGCGTGAGAAGGCACGGGCCGAGGGGCCAAACACAGGGGCCGCCGAGCGCGGGCTAGGTACGGGCCAGGCGCGGGCAGGAGACTGGGCCGGGCATAGGCTAGGTACGGGCCTATCGCGGGTGCGGTACGGGCGGGGCGCGGGGCTAGGAACGAAGTAGTAGGTGGTGGGCCCAAGAGTAGCCTACTCTAATACCATATTAGAATACTAGCGAGAATGACGAGGATGAATGACTAGGAAAAGGGGAGGGTTACAAGTACAATGTCGTGAGAAAATGTGTACCCCATAAGGCTAAACCCACTATAGCCTAGACAACTGTAAACACATAAACTAAGCCTAGATGCAACTAAGCATATATGTTTGACATTATTTCGTACACTAGAAAAAATGCTTGGGTTATCTTGTATTTGGGTAGGTTTTGGGTGTCTTATCAGTCTTATAAATGGAAACTTTTTAAACTAAGCATTTTTTTCACACATCTTGAAGAGTGTTTCTCATAATGAGTGTGGATGTTGCGAAGGTGCCACTTCGGCAACCATTGTTCGAGAAGCCACGTCATGGAAAATACTTGCAGAGGCAAATTTGGTAGTACCTGAGTCAGCACGTGGAAGAATTCGCACATCGCAAGGGTAAGAATGTACGCGGTATTTCAAGTTTCACTATAATATATTGCAGTTTCGATTATACGACACGTCTTATCTCGTACACACAAATAGGTGTCTTATAATGAGGCTAACCTGCTTTTAAGAGACACCCGGATAATAGACAACCCCTGTCTACTATTCAACACTGTCTACTATCCGGGCGATGAGATGACGGTAGTTCTTTCATTCTCATTCAGAATTCTTACTCTTTCGGCCAACACATTTTTCTCTCGATAGTCCCTATCTTGCTAGGTTCCTAGAACCTGAAGCTTCTATGGTTCCTAATCCTAAGCTATAACTTGCGTTTTGACATGCTATCAGAGCACGTAAGATCCTGCCATGTTGCCTTTTAACTACCTCATAGGCCCACCGCGCATCTCTCGAGCGCGCGACGGATTGTACCAACTTTCTACTCAATGCATTCTTTCTCGTTCAGTTTCTTGACACAGATATGCTCTTCTGGTCCCGCTTGTTCATGGAGTACGCTTCATGCCTCCCTTTTTCATGCTGTCCCTTTACGTTGCTCTGTTTTGTTGAAACCGAGCCAGAGCTAGTGGCACTCCCCTTCCTCTCCTCCTCCACCCACCCTACCTTCCCCACCCCCACCCCCCTCCCACCACCATCCCCACCCTCCTTGACGCGCACATCTCTCAGCGTGGCCTCCCGGTCTGAGTCAGTTCATCGTCCCCATCTTGGTTCGCTACAGCAGTTCCTTCCGCTCTTTGGTCTTGTTCCTCTCCCAAACCCGTTTTGCCGAACCCCTTTTCCTCTCCTCACCCTCCCCCATTTCCCCTTTCCTCCTCCACCACCACCTTCTCTACCCTCCTGATCACCTCCCTTGTTTTCCATGGGGCTCTTCCCGAATCTCGTTGCCCGAGCCGCAGAGTAAGCCTTGGAGGCGAGGGAGTGAGTTAGGGAGCGCTGGCGTGCGTGGGGGTGGAGCAGAGTGCCGATGCGGTCAAGGCCTCTCAAGATGGACGGACTCAGGCGGCAGCTTGCCCAGCAGCATGTGGATCTCCTCCTCACACCGCTGCTTCCCATATCTAGCATGGCCGAGACATACGAGTGCACCATGCGCATGGTGATGCTACCCTCCCCGACAACGCATCAGTCGCGACAGCCGTGAGCGTTGCGCCGTGTGCGAGCGGTGTGGCAGCGGGGTGCAAATGGAGGGGCTCTAGAGGGAGACGGTGCCGTTGCTGTGGCCCGGGGCGATGCCGCACGACCGGCTGTCAGCAAGGTGACCTTGGAGATGGCCAGCAGCAGCATGAGGTGCCACAGGTACTGCAGGCGCACGGCCCCGCTGCCCGTGATGCTCTGGGGGGGAGGCGGAGGGGAGTGGGAGGGGGAAGGGGCGGGAAGCGGGAGGGGGTGAGCAGGGGGAAAAGAGAGGGTGGGAGAAGAGCAGTGGAGAAGGGTTGGATAAGCAAGGGAGGGATGAGATGAGCAAAGATGCTGAACTGCAGAGGACGAAGAGATGGGTTCGGCGGGGGAAGCGAATGAAGTAGGTAGGACAGAAGGTGAGTGATGGGGAGGGGGGAGGAAGAAAGGAGCGATGGTGTAGAGTGTCAGCCCCTGTTAGTCCCGCGTTGCCACCTTGAATTAACACCAGGGCAGGGCATTCGCAGGGCATGAAGCACGCATCGAGTATTCAGCACCTTAAAAAGCACCATTGCAAGGCATTCGGCCGCTCGCGGATCAACCTCCAGCCTTTCAAGAACCTAAATCACAGCTGAATCCCATGAATGGCACCGGAGAGCGACCTGAGAGTGACCCAGAAGTGACTGCCAAGTGTGATGTGACAATGACCCGAAAGTTACCTACTACCGGTGACCTACCAACACAGCCTGGCCTAGATCACGAGCAGCCACCCCAGTGACTTATTAGCGGCCCATTAGCAGCCCACGTCCCTCATCTGCTTTTCCCTCAGCTTGTGCTTGAGCAAGAACACCGCCCTCGGGGCACCCAGCAACCCCACCCATCTTCACCACCAGCGCCTCCCACGAGTCCGCACATTGCCCGAGGACAGTGAGCCTGCACCATAGGGGCGTGAGTGTGCGGGACAAAAGTGGTTGTGGGAGAACAGTGCGCCAATCTAGTCGCCATTATAGGACTTGGAAGGTGCGCAGCCTCAGCAGCCTGCGGTTTCCCTGTGAACAGCCATGGCAAGGTGTGCAGTGAGCAGCCCACAGGCTCCATGTGAAGAGTGCGCCCATGCTCCAGGGTCGGTAATTCATGGGCCAGACATCGGTGCAGCGCTTGAAAATGGGCAGTGCGGAGCTGGTGAGAAGACGTGGGAAGGGTTGAGGGAGGTGGGAGGGAAGGAAAGGGGAGGGATAGTGCATTGGTGAGCAGTGCGCTGCCACCATGGGGAAGGGAATCCGTGGGACAGACATCGGCGTGGGAGCAGCAGGTGCGTGCAGTGCGGAGCTGGTGGTAAGATGGGGGAAGGGTTGGGGGAGGTGGCATGGGGAGAACACGGGTGAGAGCAGTGTGCCGCCACCGTAGGGTTGGAAATCTGTGGGGAGGACGTTGACATGGGAGAAGCAGGTGCGGAGCTGGGAGGAAGGGGCAGGGGAGGGAGAAGGAGGGAAAGAAGGAACAGGGGCAGTGGCTAATGAGAGGGATGTGGGAGACAGTTCCGCAGGGGTGCGAACCTGTGGGCTGCAAGTCGGTATAGGAGAAGCAGGGTCAAAGCGAGGGAAAGGAGGGAAGTAGTGCGTTAATGAGAGGGATGTGGAAAGGAGGAATTTGGGAGACAGTGCCGTAGGGGCGTGAGTCTGTGAGTCCGTGCAGGAGAAGCGGGGCAGAACTGGGGGGTGAAGGGGGGGAACGAGGGTTGAGGGAAGGGGAAAAAGGGGAAGAAGGGGAAGTACTTCTGCGCTGAAAGTACCTGTGCAGTAGGGGCAGATGTCAGGGGCAGATGTCAGGGGCAGATGTCAGGGGCAGATGTCAGGGGGTCACAAGTGGGTGTATGTGGAATACACAAATGCGAGGCTGGATGGTTGGTTGGTATGGGGAAGGGATGCGAATTGGTGTGAATGGGGGCTGGGTGGGAAGAAGGAAAGGAATCAAGAATTGGAAGGGGAGGGGAGGCATTCGGAGGGGGGATGGTGGAATGTATCTCACCCTGCCGGCAACCACCTTATCAACTCACCTGGCCTGCCATCACCTCCCTCCACTCACTCTCACAACCATCCCACAGCCACCCGCAGCGACCCAACAGCGACTCCTCAGCGACTCTCAGGGACTCCCACCTGGGAGGCACCCCCAATTCAGCTGCCCGATTCCCACCGTCGCCGGCGAGTGACTCGAGTGATTTCTTTCTACATGCATTCACCGCTCCACACCGATTCTCACCATGGCAATCTCCAGCCTATCAACCACAACCGGGCCCTCGCCACCTATCAGTAAAACCCAACGTTTCCTTCATGGCGACCGCCCGCCCCATCAGCACCCCCCACCCCCTTGCACTGCCCCTTCACCCCCGCATCATCCCCCTCACGCCGCTCCCCCACGTCCCTCCCCCTCAAGCCCCCTTTTTCACCCCACCCCACCCCACATTCACACCCCACGAACTCCCCCCTAAACCTCATCCCCACAGCCCCTCAACCCCCTTTCACTCCTGCTTCACCCCCCTTTCACCGCTCCCTTGAGTAACTCTCACGCGCACACACCCCTACTCCACAGCGATCCCTCACCGAGTCTCACGCATACACACCCCACACAGCGGCTCACCATGGCGGTATCCAGCGTGTCAACGGCACCCCACCCATCGCTGGTAGCGCCAAACGCGTCCTCCGTGGCCTCCGCCAGCCCCATCAGCACTTTCTCTCCCTCCTCCCCACCCTATCAGCTGCCCGCCCTTCACCACTTTCTCCCCCTCCCCGCCCTGCTCGCCACCGCCACTGCCGCCGCCAACGCCGCTTGCGCTGCTTGGCAAGGTCCCCAGCCGTCACCTCTCCGCTGCCGCAGCACTTCCTGCTTCCGCCGTTCTTCTCCCTCTAATTTCTCTTTATCTATGTCCTTGTAACATCCACATTCTCCTCCTGCTGTGCTTCCACAGCTTCGCTGATCGGATTTCGCGGAACCTGTTGCTTCATCATCATTCGCCGAGCCGCCACTAGTAACATAACACTCAAAATCGCTTTTCTAAAGCAACAACGAGTGAAACATGTTTGTTCAGTCGCAGGATCCGCAACTAGGGTTCCGTAGCTCCAGTCGTTCCTAAAGCTACTGCCGGGTTTTGAACCCTCAGATTCGCTTTTCGATTGAAGATTAAGGCCGATTCCGGTGAGGTCTCTACAGCTCCGTTCGCTATACCGTTCGCAATGTGCTGGGAAAGGTACGGCTGCCAGTTTACCCATCCACGCTCGTGATCAGCTGGGAATATGACGGATACGCTAACAGGGGGAACAGGAGATTCGAGCAGATTGATTCATTCTTGGCGGGGGAGAAAATAAGTCTTTGTGGGCGGCTCGAAGGGTAGGTGGGTCGCACTGTCACAGTCACTGGCGCATTACGAACAGTGTTGACCACTACGGGAAAAACAGGCAGCTTGTGCATCGGGCCTAGGATACGAGGAATCCGCAAGAATGTGGACTGGCAGTTCCGTAAGTCTCGAATAGCACAAATTCGACGGGCTAGGCGGAGCCGAAAAGCAAAATAGGATGCAAACAAAGCAAAGCATATAAAAAATAAGGTGCCATAGCTTGGCAAGCAAAGCATTGGAAAACCTAATGCGCGCCGAGCTGATCGGACTTTCGGCATTTCGAATCTCGAGGCTGGTAACAAACAAAACCAGGGTCTGTGATTAGCGAGATTGTGGCGGAAGTGCTGGCCTCTCCTGCGCCTCCAGACCAGAGGCTTTCTCGAGGCTCCCTGTTTTGAGACTGGAACACACGAATCTTGGGGCGGGGTTAGCAAGAATGAAAGGTCATGCACAATTCGCCAACAAGGGTTCGGTTTCGCCAAAGGCAGCACATCGTAGAAACTCTCGCAAGCACTCTCAATCACAATCGTCACACCCACCCACTCTTCGCCAGGTTCGCCACGGCTCCTTCCTGGTCCTTCCAGTACGTCTGCGTGACAGGGACGAGGGGAGGAGTGACGGTCCTTTCATGACACGACTCACGCACGACGAAGGCTGACTGGCACGAACGATTGCCGAGGTTGGCGGAAGGCCTCTTGCGAGAAGGAACTCTAGTGAGCTCAGTCCTCATAAAGCTGCAGCTTCCTAGGGATTCAGCTCAGAAAGCAGCAGCCATCCAGGGAACGCGCACGAGGAGGAATCGTTTTCGGTTTTAGTAAACTGCTCTTTCACAAATAGCTCCAGATCTGTCGTCTCGACTGAGAGCTGGCCTTGAGGGCTCTCTAGTGTCGCTGAGCTGAGGATCTAGCAGTCTAGCAGTCTTCCGCCGTCCGTAGTAGTATCTCGATTTTTGGACATGGAGTCTCCGCCGATCCATCGTCTACCTGACGATCTCCTCCTTACCATCCTTACGCACTCCTTTCAGCAACCGGCTTCACGCGAATCTCACTGGGACAACTTGGCCACTGACGTCTGGCCAGGTTTCGGTATGGATAAAGTCACGCGTAACTTTGTGATAGTCCCGCCGATATCAGCCCCACCTTCGGTCGCTGCAGACGTGGCTCGAAATCTCCTCATTGCGTCTGTCTGCCGTCGTTGGCGTCGTCTTTTGAAACTTGGTGTGACCACGCTCACCGTCAAAGAAGACCTCTTGGTAACCCGCGAAGATCTCTCAGTCGTCATCTCGGGTTTTTCAAATCTTACCCATCTGCATCTGAGCGACAGAAGTGTGGAGTTGGTCGGCGACGCCTTCCTTGCTCACCTTGCTTCATCATGTCCGAAACTGACGACTCTCCACGCGGGGAGGAGCTATGCACCGCGATTGCCCAACTTCTATGGCGTCGTGGTAGAGCATTATCGAAGAAAGAAGGAGCATCCATTAACTACACAGGGCTTGGATTCGTTCTTTCAAGAGCTTCCCAAATTGGAGCAGGTTACCCTCTACTGCCTTGACCAAGAAACAAGGCTACCAGGTTCCTTGTTTCAGCTGAGGCGTCTGCACACCCTCCTTACCGACGCGTCAGCATTGGAAAATCGCGGCTTCACAAACTTGACTGCTCTTACCACCCTATACGTCACCTTTCCCATGAACCATCTGCACCTCTCCAACCTCCTTCATCTCCCACAACTCGCCCATATCTTCACCCTCGGCCCTCACCAGACCCATCAACCGGCGGATGCTGCAAGCGTGACGCTGCCTCCTTGCCTAAAATCGCTCATTGTTTCAAGTTCTTGTCCTAATCCCGACACCATCTTCCCATCAGCTTCACCGTTCACTGGGCTAGAGGAGCTGCTGATGAGCAACTGCAGTGAGCTGACGAGCCTTCCAGACCCCATCGGAGACGTGCTGCCGTGCCTTCGCAAGTTGACGATTCGCTATTGTTTTTCTCTTGACCGATTGCCTGAAAGTTTCACGTCTCTAAGCCGTTTGGAAGCCCTCGACGTTTCTGATTCTCACACATTCACCTTACCCAGCAACTTCGGCCATCTGCCTGCCCTCAAACTGCTGGTGCTGAAGTGGTTGTCTCTCACCGAACTCCCTCTTTCCTTCAGTCATCTTACGTCTCTCGAAGCACTTTCTGTGGAGAATTGTCGCTACTTTCGACAGCTGCCAGCAGGGTTCTGCCGCCTCACTGCTCTCAAGGCGCTCTGCTTGCCAATCCGGGAGCTGCCAGAGGAGATTGGAGCCCTTGCAGGTCTGGAGGAACTTAGGTTATGTAACCGCCTGCACCACCCCCTTCCCCCGTCCTTCACCTGACTATCTTCCCTGACGAGCCTTGAGCTGAGTAAATGCGGTGAAATTGAGCTTCCGGAATCCTTGGGAGGGTTGACCAGCCTACGGGAGCTGAAGATAATTGAGTGTTTGATCAGCAGGCTCCCTACCTCACTCATACAGCTTACGGGGCTTCACACCTTGGAGGTCAGAGGCGGCTGGACACTCTCAGAAGTACCCTCGCGGCTGGATACACTCACGGGGCTCAAGAGGCTGGAGCTGTTTGCATGTTTGCAGCTGAGTGAACTCCCTGCTGCTCTGCCCCCCTCTCTTGAGACCCTCACTTTGGGGACATTTAAGGAAGGCTCTTCGCCTTTCGTGGACATCTCCCAGCTGTCGCAGCTGAGGGTGCTGAAGCTGAAGGACGTCGGGGTGCGATGCGGGCCTGAAGTGAGCGGCAGGTTCGCGTGTCTGCAGCAGCTGGAGCAGCTGGAAATTTGTTGGCAAATCGACACTCAAGAGCTCCCAGTCCCCCTGACCTTTCTCCCTCGCCTGCGCAGCTTGCTGATAGATGCACCTAGACTCTGCAGCCTCCCGGACAAGATGGAGGCTGCGTTGCCGCAGCTGCGGCATTTGGAGCTGCTTTCTTGGTCACAGGAGGAGCTGCCAAGGAGCATAATGGAGCTGCTCACGTTGACCTCATTGGCGATCAACGCACCTCGGCTGGTCTTGCTACCTCAAGGCATGATCCGCTTAACTCGGCTGCGCAAGGTGCACCTGATTTGCTGCAGAGCCTTGCAGCACCTCCCGGAGTTTCTCACCCAGCTGCACCAACTGATTCTCCGAAACACCTCCATCAGACCCCTTCCCGCAAATCTCGTGCTGTTTACTAATCAGCCTTGACAGCCAGGCTGGTCTTTGACAGCTTGACCGAAGGTTCTCTCAGCGCACTGGACCCGGTTGAAGGTGCTGCAGCATCTCGCATTCGCTTGCTATGTCTTTGTGCTGGCTGATCCTTATTAAAGATCGTGTCTTTGCAGCCGGGCCTGCACCAGTGTAGCGGGGGAAGATGAAGGAAATGAGTGGGCTGTACAGATTATAGAAGTGTATTGTGCCTCTTTCTAGTATGTATTGTCTTGTACCCATATACATCCTTTGTCTTCATTTCCGTTGTATACAGTGTGCATGGCCAAGCCAATTTGACTGGGAAAAGTAGCAAAACTATTCCAGGTTGTCATGTCAAGTCTGGGATCATCAGCATCAGTGGACCAACCCAGTAAGCCTGTCAAGAGAAATAGACAAGAAGCTGTGAATGCTGTCAGGAAGACAACTGACTGTCATGGACCAGTCATTCTCATGACCAGGCTGACATTGTCAACTGCTGGATAAATAATGCAATGCAACCTACGCCATGGCAGCTGGGATATGGCTTAATCATGCCTCGCTGAATCATGCCTCGCTGAATCATGCCTGCCTGAATCATGCCTGCCTGAAACATGTCTGGCTGAATAATGTCAGGCTGAATCATGCCTGGATCAATCATGCCAGGCTGAATCATGCCTGGCTGGATCATGCCAGGCTGGATCATGCTACGCTGAATCATACCAGGCTAAAACATGCAAGGCTGAATCATGCCAGGCTGAATCATGCCAGGCTGAATCATGCTAGGCTGAATCATGCCGGGCTGAATCATTGCCAGGCTGAATCATACCTGGCTGAATCATGCCTGGCTGAATCATGCCTGGCTGAATCATGCCAGGCTGAATCATGCCTGGATGAATCATGCCAGGCTGAATCATGCCTGGCTGGATCATGCCAGGCTGGATCATGCTAGGCTGAATCATACCAGGCTGAATCATGCTAGGCTGAATCATGTCAGGCTAGATCATGCCAGGCTGAATCATGCTAGGCTGAATCATGCCAGGCTGAATCATTGCCAGGCTGAATCATACCTGGCTGAATCATGCCTGGCTGAATCGTGCCAGGCTGAATCATGCCAGGCTGAATCATGCCTGGCTGAATCATGCCTCGCTGAATTATGCCTGGCTGAATCATGCCTGGCTCTTTCATTCCAGGCTGAACCATGCTAGGCTGAATCATACCAGGCTGAATCATGCCTGGCTGAATCATGCCTGGCTGAATCATGCTTGGCTGAATCATGCCTGTCTAAATCATGACTTGGCTGAATCATGCCGGGCTGAATCATGCCGGGCTGAATCATGCTAGGCGCAATAATGCCAGGCTGAATAATGCCTGGCTGAATCATGCCTGGCTGAATCATGCCTGGATGAATCATGCCAGGCTGAATCATGCCAGGCTGAATCATTGCCAGGCTGAATCATGCCAGGCTGAATCATGCCAGGCTGAATCATGCCTGGCTGAATCATGCCTCGTTGAATTATGCCAGGCCGAATCATGCCAGGCTGAATCATTCCTGGCTGAATCATGCCTGGCTGAATCATGCCTGGATGAGTCATTCCAGGCTGAATCATGCCTAGCTGAATCATGCCTGGATGAATCATGCCTAGCTGAATCATTCCAGGCTGAATCATGCCTGGATGAATCATGCCAGGCTGAATCATGCCTGGGTGAATTATGCCAGGCTTAATCATACCTGTCCGAATCATGCCTGGATGAAAAATGCCAAGCTGAATCATGCCTGGCTGAATCATGCCAGGCTGAATCATGCCTGGCTGAATGGCTGAATCATGCCTGTCCGAATCATGCCCTGGCTGAGTCATGCCTGGATGAATCATGCCAGGCTGAATCATGCCAGGCTGGATCATGCTAGGCTGAATCATTCCAGGCTGGATCATGCCAGGCTGAATCATGCCTGGCTGAATCATGCCAGGCTGAATCATGCCTTGATGAATCATGCCAGGCTGAATCATGCGTGGCTGAATCATGCTAGGCTGAATCATGCCTGGCTGAATCATGCCAGGCTGAATCATGCCTGTCCGAATCATCCCTGGCTGAATCATGCCTGGATGAATCATGACAGGCTGAATCATGCCTGGCTTAATCATGCCTGGCTCTTTCATTCCAGGCTAAACCATGCTAGGCTGAATCATACCAGGCTGAATCATGCCTGGCTGAATCATGCCTGGCTGAATCATGCCTGGCTGAATCATGCCTGTCTAAATCATGACTTGGCTGAATCATGCCGGGCTGAATCATGCCGGGCTGAATCATGCTAGGCGCAATAATGCCAGGCTGAATAATGCCTGGCTGAATCATGCCTGGCTGAATCATGCCTGGATGAATCATGCGAGGCTAAATCATGCCTGGCTGAATCACGCCAGGCTGAATCATGCCTGGCTGAATCATGCCTGGATGAATCACGCCAGGCTGAATCATGCCAGGCTGAATCATGCCTGGCTGATTCATGCCTGGATGAATCATCCTAGGCTGAATCATGCCAGGCTGAATCTTGCCGGGCTGAATCATTCCTGGATGAATCATGCCTGGCTGAATCATGCCTGGCTGAATCATGCCTGGCTGAATCATGCCTGGCTGACTCATGCCTGGCTGAATCATGCTTGGCTGAATGATGCCTGGCTGAATCCTGCCTGGCTGAATCATGCCTGCCTGAACCGTGCCTGGTTGAATCATGCCTGTCTCAATCATGCTAGGCTGAATCATGCCAGGCTGGATCATGCCTGGCTGAATCATGCCTGGCTGAATCATGCCTGGCTGAATCAAGCCTTGCTGAATCATGCCAGTCTGAAACTTGCCTGGATGAATCATGCCTGGCTGAATCATGCCTGGCTGAATCATGCCTGGCTGAATCATGCCAGGCTGAATCATGCCTGGCTGAATCATGCCTGCCTGAACCGTGCCTGGTTGAATCATGCCTGTCTCAATCATGCCAGGCTGAAACTGCCATTCTGAATCATGCCTGGCTGAATCATGCCTGGCTGAATCATGCCTGGCTGAATCATGCCTGGCTGATTCATGCTTAGCTGAATCATGCCTGCCTGAACCGTGCCTGGTTGAATCATGCCTGTCTCAATCATGCCTGGCTGAAACTTCGTGTACAGCGATGGCAAGCTGAGTTGGAGTGGGTGCGCCTGTTCTGCCCTCGCTCCTCTTGCTTCTCCATCTTCTCGTTCATAAGTTTTTCCCCTCTTCCCTTTGACTTCTTCACCCTTACACGTCCTGTTCTCTTCCCTCTCGGCTCCACTGTCCTCTTTGTCCCCACCGCCCCCAACCTATGTTTTTCTCATCCTTTCCTCGTTCACTCTCCCCCACCCCACCTTTCCTTTCCTCGCGTGCAGGTGCCCACTCTTGCTTCTCATTTCTGCTTGCCATCCGCCTTTCTCCCTCATTTCCCCTTCTCATTCCGCCTTGCCTCCTTTGTCCCCTGTCCCTCCCCACTATCAGAATCCTCAACAGCACATTCAATCAGCTAAGTTGGGAGTTTCCGAGAGTTGGTAATCAGCCACCTAGGAGTTGCTACGAATGGCTGTGGGATGGTTGTGAGAGTTAGAGGAGGGAACTGATGGGAAGGTGATTGCAGCCAAGGTGCGACTCCTTCCCCCTTCTACCCTCAATCAACTCGGACTCGATTTCCTTTGTCCACCCAGCCCCCGATAGCATTAACCCCCTCATTCTATTCGTTCAGCCTTGCATGTGTATCCAAGGCTGAATCCAGCTATTAAACTACCCGCTTCCCACCACCATGGCATGTGTGGACTGGTGACCCCCTGGCATCCGCCCCACCTGCACAAACACATTATTCACAGAGGCACTACCTCTTCCTCTCCCTTATCCCATTCCCCGTGACCACTTTCCCTCCTTCCCCCCTTCCCCCCGGCTCCAACCCTGCTTCGCCCACATCCCTCCTCCCTGCATCCGTGTCACCAACGCACTTAGACCGTCCCTTCCCCAACTCCCCCCCTCAGCCTCGCACCTGCTTCTCCTATACCCGCTTCTGGCCCACAGGTTCACACCCCTACACCACAATCTCTCTCCCACATCCCTCTTATAAGCCACTACCATTTCCCCTTCTCTCCCTTCCCCTCCCCCCAAGCCAGCTCTGCGCCGCACCTGCAACTCCTACCACCACAACTCCGCAGCCACGTCTGCCCCACTGCACGGGAATTGCCCCCCACAGCGCAGCCGCATTGCTCATCCAATGCACGCCAAGGCACCTTTGCCTCCCTTCCCCATACCCTTTCCCTCCCCACCACCCCCTTCCCCACCCCTCCCAGCTCCGCCTATTCTTCCATGCCAGAGTCTGCCCCACGAATTCGTGCAACTACAGTGATGCCGCACTGTTCTCTTCTCACCCAGGCGCCGTACCCTTCCTCCCCTCCTCTCCCTTCCCCACCTTCTCCAGCCACCCCCCCAGCGCTGCACCTGTTGCTCCTATTTTGACGTCTGGCCTGCGGATTTGTGGCTTATGGTGTGGCCGCACAGCTCTCACCCACGCACTGTCCCTTCCTTTTACCCTCCCACCTCCTCCAACCCTTTCCCTGTCTTCTCACCAGCTCTGCACTGCACCTGCTACTCCAGCACCGGTTCCTGGCCCGAAATTCCCGCCCCTGTTCAACCAGGCAGGCAGAGGCTGCTGGCGTGGCGGAGATGGGCGAGAGGCATTGGCAGCGCAAGCGGCGTTGGCGGCAGCAGTGGCAGCGGCGGGGGGCACGGGGATGAGGGCGGGAAGGGGGGCGAAGGGGTGGTGAAAGGGGGCTGCTGATGGGGCTGGCGGGCAGACAGGCTTGAAGTCGCTAAGGTGAGATGTCCTGAGGGATGGAGATGCGTGTGAGATTCACTCTGGAGAAAGGTGGGGGGAAAGGGGGTTGAAGGAAAGGGGTACGAAAGGGTGGTGAAGCAAGGGGGGCTGAAGGAAAGGCTGGAGAAGGTAGTGGGGAGAGGGGAGTTGAAGTTGATGCGTGTGAGAGGCTATGTGTGAGTGGCGATGTGTGAGAGGCAATGTGTGAGTGGTGAAGTGTGAGAGGCTATGAGCAGTCACTCTGGGGCAGGGATGATGTATGTTAAGAGTCACTTGAAAGACTGGGAGTGGCTGTTGATGGCAGGGCCGCTGATGGAGCTGGCGGAGGCTAGAGAGGATGTCTTGGAGCTCCGAAGGGCTCCGAGGGGAGTTTTAGAGGACCCTCCACAACACCCTGCAACTCTCCCTTCCCACCCTCACCTCATCCCTGACCCATCCAGCTCTGCTACGCTCCCGCTTACTATTCCCATGCCCTCTCGTACCTACTCGCACAGCCACACTGCTTGTCCAGGCACCATCTCAGGACTTTCTCCAACCAATCCCCTCTCATTACCCTTACGCACTCCCCTTTCGCTTGCCCCTTCCCCTTCCCTTGTCCAACCCCTTCCCCAACCCTTACTCCTCCCTTTACCTGTAAGTAACCCCTCCCTTCCCCCTTACCTCCTCCCCATCCCTTTACCCATCCCCCTCCCCTTACCCGCTTCCTTTCCTCCTCACCGATTTCCGCTTTCGTTACCCTGTCCCTTTACCCGTCCCCCCTTCCCCTTCCCCTTTCTGCTTCTCATTCCGCCTCTCAACCCTTCCTGCACCCCTCACCTGATCCCAATCGTCTACAGCGACTCCAGGCTCTTTCATGCCTCACACACACGCGCCGCTGCACCACTGCCAGCGGCGCCGCTGCCGGAAGCGTAATAATTCCCCCCAGCTGTGCGCCTGTGTCTCCTGCACCCTCACTTGTCATCCGCCTGCCCAAAACTTTATGCTATCCTTCCCACCATCGTGCCGCTCCCTTCCCTCCTTTCCATGCTCTCTCCCTCTCAGACCCCCTCACCCCCCACTCCCCTTTTCAACTCCCTCCCTCACCCCTCCCCCGCTCACTCCCTCCTAGCTGGCTTCATTTCATTCTCTCTTGAGGATTATCACGCTGCTCCGTTTCCCACGGATTCCCGCCACTACGGCACGAGCACACTGTTCACGAGCACACTGTTCACGAGCACACTGTTCACGAGCACACTGTTCACGAGCACACTGTTCACGAGCACACTGTTCACGGGCAACCTGTGGCCTTGTGGGCTGCTGAGTGCACTCCATGCCAAGATAATCTCTCTTCAACACACCTTACTGCTGATGGTCACGGGTACTGTTCTTGCCGGCTGGGTGAAGAAGGTGCGTCGGTGGTGCAAGGGGCTAATCGTGGATCACCAGTGGGTCACTACTGGGTCAGTGGCAGGTCACTCTTAGCTCACTCTCGGATCATTATTGTCCCCCCCCCTTACCCTTACACTTTCCATCCCCGTCCCTTTCTCCACTCCCATCCACTTCTCCATCCCCTCCTCCATCCCCTTCTCCACAAACGTCCCCTTCCCCATCCCCATCCTGATTGCCATCCCCCACATCCTGCAGCCAGCAGCAGCTCCAATCCGCCCTGCTCTTTCCCTCTCTCCTTCCAGCCACCCTTCCCCCCAATTACCCACCAGGTGTGCATGGTCCAGCCAGTAGCATCCGTTCCCTGCCGCCTCTACACTCACAGACCCATCAACAATCACTTATCTCCACAGTGAGGTTAGTAGTGCCTTGTACTGAACCTGCCTCTACCAAATCAAGTCGGTGCTCTCATTTGTCTCCTTTGGCGCCACCCCTGCCATTCGCACCCCATTGTCTCTTGTGTCAACCATTTAATGTGGAGGAGACAGTCCCTTGATCGCATCATCCCATCACCCCATTATCCCACTACCCCGTTCCCTGTCTATTGTGTCACCCTATTGACCCCATCCACCTGAAGAATATCTGCCTAGTGCCAGTGGTCTAGTGGTAGAATAGCACCCTGCCATCAGCACGGTGCAGACCCGGGTTCGATTCCCGGCTGGCACACACTGGTATTGAGTTTTTGCCGCGAACTAGACCATCCCATAGGACGCCCAACAAAGCCCATGCCATCAACCGCTTGATAGCAGTCCCCCCGTGCATTGACTTCGGTCCTCACTACAATGGATGGTGTTAAATAGCTTTGGCAGGTCGCTGCCTGCCCTACCCCTGCATGTGCCCACCTCCCGTGGTTGCATGAGGCACAATCTACGAACCAGGAGCTAGGTAGGAGAAAGGAGACTCATATTCGTGCATCTTCATGTTCCTCCCTTCTGAAGGGCCTCAGCAATTGAACCGAAGAGCGAGGAGACCCATACTTATGCACATTCATGTTCCTCGCTCTCTCCACCTACTCCCAACCAACCCCACTGCCCAACCCTCCCCACCTCTTTCACCACAGCATGGCTGGGCGTTACAGCCTGCAGCTCCCTTCTCACGCCCTTGCCCATACTCGTTCCGCCCTCCCTCCCCTGCATCACCCCACCCCTCCCACCAACCCACACCGTTCCAGCTCTCCCGCCCATCATGGCAGGGCGTTACAGCATGAACCTCCCCCCTCCTCGCTTTCCCTCCCTCATTGCATCCCTCGTCGTTTATTCCTCGTTACCTACCCTCCATTTCCCTACCCAAAAACCCATACCTCCAGCGCATCATAGCGGGGCGCTATGGTGTGCACTGCAGCTTGCACCTCCCCCCGCCTTACCTCGCTTTCCCCCTGTCATTGCTTTCCTCGTTGTTTCTTCCTCCTTCCCTGCCCTCCATTCCACCATCCAAAACTCCACACCTTTCCACCTCTTCCAGTGAAACATGGCACGTTATGGTGTGTGTGCACTGCAGCTCTCTCCACCCTCCCTTGGATGCGCATGTTCATTGCTTCCCCTCCCCTTTATCACCCTCCCGCTCCCCTCACTCCCGTTTATTGTTCCACATGTGCCAGCGCATCATGCCGCTCATCCCTCACATCATGTTACGGAGTGCACCTCGCCCTGTCAATCAAAACGTGCATGGCAGCTCATAGGCACCGCCCATCCCTCACATCCCAAAATCTTTTGTCGTCAAAATCCCTTGAAACTCTTTCTTGTCAAAAGCTGCTGTACTGAAATCATCTTTGTGACTTAGCAGCATACACAAGCTCCCCACCCGCCACTACCCTACTGTCCACGTTGCTCCAACACCCCTATTCTGGAGCCACAGGGCCACATCACCACTCCCATCAGTTTCTCCCTTTAACACCAACAAGACCTATTCGGCAGTCGCAAGGCCAAGATGATCGCCCTTTGAGCAGTGAGCAGGGTCTCTCAACACTGGACTGCCTGTCGTGAACTAGGCGCCTTTCCAGGCAATGTGCTCTGCCCCCTCTCATTCTTCATCTTCCTTGCCTTCTCTGCTTTCGTTCCTGCCCTTCCCTGCACTGCCTTCCTGCCCTGTCTTCCATAACCCCTTCCTTTCTGCAGGCCCTAGTGGGTTGGCCCAAGGCCAAGATCACCACTCCCATCACGGCCTCTCTCTCGCTTGGCATTAGCCAATTTCTCCGGCAGGCAGTGTGCCTCTTCTGGGCCTTCATCATCCCAGCCTTCCGCAACAGCGAGGAGCAGCCTTTGCTTGACAAGATCTTGCCATTTGGCACAAGGCGATTTGTGCTCGCATGGATGTTGCTGACCACCGGTCTGCTGCTGTTACTGCCCAAGAAAGGCAGCATGTTCCCTTACACGTGGATGTCTAGGGTGTGTCATGATTTGGCATGGCACATAACATCATTCCTTCCAAACTGCAACTGCTGGTTCCATGCACCTCCTGTCCGGATGAGCTATCCCTGGCCCACATGTCCCACCAGCACAGCAGCACCATCTGCACCAAGTATTGTAAATATCTGATAAAGATGCATGCATCTCTGCTGCTAGATTGTAGTACCGTAAGTGGCGATTCCATCCAATCCATATCCATCCCTGCTGCACTACACAATACCTTGCATAGCATTTGTCCGTAGCACATTATTCCATAGCCCTACTCTGCTCTACATACCGCAGCAGCACACGCACCATTTATAGCACGGTTCCAACTGACAAAGAAAGAATCAATACAAGCTTCCTACGTGTTAGAATTTGAAATGACTGAATAGGATCGTATACTTAGGATGGTAGCTTCCTGTTGCAGTGGAAGTCTTTATATGAGTTAAAGCCAGCGTAGGAGGCTTTGTCCGGGCTAGTATGTAAAGCCCATGTAGTGACACGTTTCAGGATCGATGTCTCTGAAATCAAGTATATCAAAAAATGACAAACATACAGAATATATAGCTAGAGTAAATTACCTATTCGCCTATTGTACCGTGCTATTCACGCTAATTCTGTTCTGAAACGGTACGTGACTATTCGCGAGGCCTACAGCTACTTGCTGACGTCATCCTAGGGCGCGTAGCGCTTTGCTGACGTCATCCTAGGGCGCGTAGCGCTTTGCTGACGTCATCATAGGGCGCGTAGCGCTTTGCTGACGTCATCCTAGGGTGCGTAGCGCTTTGCTGACGTCATCATAGGGCGCGTAGCGCTTTGCTGACGTCAGCCTATCGGTTCTTTACTATTACGTGCGAAGTCTCGCATTGTACTAACTGTACTACATGAATTCCTTGAACTGCTGAAGTCTCGATATTATCTCAACACTCCCCTTCACTTCTAGGAGTTCGGTGTAGTTACCCAGTTGCCTCAGAAACGCCGCTGAGCTGATTGCAGTGATGAAATTTTTGTCGTGTCAGTTTCTTGGTAAGTGAGTCAGCTGCCATGTCACTGGTGGGACAGTAGACAAGGTGCATTCTCCCCTTGTCGATCGCATCCTTGACGAAGAAGTAACGCAGCGAGATATGTTTCGTGTGATTGACGAAGCCGGGCTTGTTGGCAATGGTAATTGCACTCTGGTTGTCGCACTGCAGCGTGAACTGATTCGGCGTGACGAATTTTGCTTCGTCGAGCAGTTCCTGTAAGTATAATCCTTCTCGGGTTGCAGCACATGCGGCAATAAACTCTGCCTCAGCCGAGGAGAGTGACACGAGCTCCTGTTTCTATGAATTCCACGAGATCGGGCCAATTGGCTCGAGACGCAAAACGTAGCCAGTTCATGACCGTCGATCTGATGTGTCACCGGCGTGGTCTGCGTCGATGTATCCGCTGAGGTACATTTTGTCGGTTGGTTTTCTTGTGTTGAAGACCAGCCCGACTGTTGGTGTTGCGACAAAGTAATGTAGAGCACGCTGAAGATCGAGGTGGTGTTCTTCTTTCGGGCAGCGTAGAAACTGTGCGAGATAACTTGCGACGTATGCAAGGTCGGGACGGCATGTGACTGCTACGAAGAGAAGACACCCGAGTTGCTGCTGGTACAGTTGTAGGCCAGCTGCTGAAAGTTTGGTGTTGTTTAGGACGTGCCCGGTGGGTGTAGATCGATAGGGTGTAGCGACGTAATCTGTAGGAATTTTGAAGCGCTTAGCGAGTGACTCAGCATACTTCGATGCTGTGAGATGGATGGCGGAGGAAGTTCGCGAAACGTTTAACCCAAGAAATTGGGTCACTTCGGTGGAGATGGTTAAATCGAGAGATTTCTTAAAATCTGCTTCGATGCGACCACCCAAGGAAGCCGACAAGCTGACGTAGAGAATGTCGTCCACGTATGCCACGAGCAGCGCATAACTCCCCTTGTTGTCTAGCCGATACATCCCGGGATCATGCGGCAGTTGTCGGAACCCAACTTCTGTCAGTTTTCCGTTCAAATGCTGCTGCCACAGTCGCGGTGCTTGTTTGATACCGTACAGTGACTTCTTGAGCTTGCAGACACTTGGCGGGTTT